TGCCCTTAGTCGCAAGCCTTCTCTCCTTTTAGGGTTAAGTTACCATGAAGTTCCCTCCAACAAGGAACGCCAACTTGTGGAAGTCTTATAGGGTCTCCACGTCCAATTCATTCTGTAAATGAGGTTGCTTGCCTGATGTTGCCATGTTTAGGTTTTGAGGCTTTTTGGTTCCTTACTCCCTCAGTTCAAGCACTTCAAGTTTTTAGGGAAGATCAGTTTTAATGGCAAGCAACAGTTTGGGTTTTTTTTGGGGGGCTATCCACTCAGGAAGTGATGTTCTGTTCATTTTCCGTAGGGCGCTGCGGCAAAAACCAAGCGGCTTACTACCATACCAAGGTGAAGGGAAGGTCCCCTGTCCGCAGTTTCAATGAAACCCAGTGCCCTGAGGTCAGCACCCTTCCCGGGCATGGTAGGTGGGCGGAATTGAACGATCGCGGTCGAATCCTTCGAGTGGTCGTGTTTCCAAGTCTTTGAATGTTCAGCTCACTCCCCGGGTTGGCCTCTAGTCAGTTTTTGGGGAAGACGGCCATGTTAGAGTGGAATGCGCAAAGCTTGATGTTTTTTGTTTGCCAGCGCGCGCTGGAAGTGAGTTGTGTTCGGATGTGCGCCAGGCAAAGAGAAGACAAGTCCCCAGTAGGAGAAGTGCAGGTTTGGGCAGAAAGCTGCCTTGCCATTCTGGCGATTTGGGCCTTCGCTTTGTTTGCATGTACAGCATTGCCGGGTGTGTCTTTTTGAGGGTGCCCGTGTTTTTGTTGTTTGATAGGAAAGCCGAAACGAAAACAGCCATTTATATGTGTTTGTCTCTTCTCTTTTTGGGTGGGGGGGGGGAGGGGACAAGGGGGCCCTCAAAAAAAACACACCCATAAGTTTGTCGTCCGTTTTGGCACTAGTTTTCCCGCCTCGGCCAGAATGACTTTGAGGTACTGTGTTTTGGTTTGCCTTGAAGTGTTGTGATTGTCTGAGTGAGTGAGTGAGTCGGCCCCGAAATGCGCTAGTCTCTGGAGGGATTTTGACCTGCTTCTGGGGGGGGAATGTGACCGCTTTCTAAGAAGATTTGACTGGTTTATAGGGGGAATTTGACCGGTCCGGCTTCTAGAGGGGTTTGAGTTGATTTGACTGGAATTTCACCGGTTCTAGGGGGAATGTGTCAGTTTCTGGGCGTATGACTGGAGTTGGACCGGTTGCTGGCGGAGATGTAATAGGTTTGCGGCACTTGACCGGCTTCTACGACGGTAGAAGGGGGTTTGATTGGCTTTTGAGGCCAGGCCCAAGCCCACGCCCAGTCGAAGCCGGCGATTGGCTCGCGCATCTCGCCATTCCAAAGCTTAAGCCAATTTCCCCCCCGCTTTGTTTGACAAAGCCAATACCTTTGTGGGAAAAGTTCGCCTTTTTTCAAATCGGTTTCCCAACGCCAGTCAGCAGGGGAGCTTTCCCTTTTTCGATGCCGTTTTTTAACGATTAACCAACAGATAGCGAATGAAAGACTTAAGCAGTTGGGAAGAAGTTCAAGCAGGTGAATATATATATATATACAACAAACCGCGACAAGTCTGCAACTCTCCCCGTCCAGGTAGTGAAATTCCGGGCAAGCGAAGATTAGGCGTCCCAGGCAGAAAACTTGGTGAGGACAACTACCGTTTGGACTCATGGCAAAACAAAAAATTACTCGATACAACCTGAAAGCTTGTTTTCTGGGGTCCAATTCCCAAAAGGAGTCTCCTCTCCTGGGTTTGCTTTTGTTTAAAGATACCCCTTTGGTCTGAAACTCCAGGAACACGTCATTTCGAGCTCCCCTACAGTCGCACCCAAAGTGCTTGGCTTCTTTCTTGGGCTCCTGAAAAAACCCATCAAACGAACATACCCCTCGCCAGGGCCTTGGGACCGGGATCTCCAGGACCGGTGCCGTCTTCGGCGGTTGAGGTTTCGACCCCTTTCTCAGCCAACTTCCAGTCTCTAAAATGGGTCAAAGGCTTGGTTACAGGACCATCTGCAGGAAATGGCCCACCCGAAATCAGCGGGTTGTTTTTGTTGTCTAGAAATGTCCTGTAACCCAAACAGTCTAGAGGGGGTGTTCCTCTCCAAAACCCACTCCTTTCCCAGGGACACTGCTGATGAAAAAAGGGGCCAACATTAGCTTTTCATGTTTCCATGTAGACCACGAACTGTTGATTCATCACTTTCCGGGGATCTGTTTGGACAGCCCGTTGAGGATTTTGTTTCCTGGGAATCGCCTGGAACAATTTCCAGAATCATGGTATCCAAGCAATTGACACCTCCCGTTTGTTTACGCGTTTGTCCGCGTCCAGGTGTTGGGGCTGGTGGGCTTATGTTTCTCGTGTTTTTGTCCCGGTTTTTCCTCTCTTTTTTAAGAAAGGAAAAGAAAGAATCAGCCTCCTCGAATTGGTGGTTTGGATTGGTGGTTTGGGATGTGAACCCCTGGTTCTTGTAGAGGGTAAATGGAAAACACCAATCCAAGCCACAAATTAGAGGAAGCTGATCAATCCAGGATCTACTGGAAATAGCCAGACACATTGAGGCCAACCACATGGCTCGGCGTTCTTTTTTGCAGATCCCTGGGGAACTGCCATTTGCTTTCCTGGAGCCCTGGGTGTGGGGTTTCAGAGACGGGTGATGATGACCCCAGATTTCATTTACCTGTAAAAGTCGTCCGAATCAAGGGAAGTTGAAGAAGAACTTTGAAAGGATGAATCCTGACAAGGGGACACCCACCATTTTGCTTGTTCTCAACCGGAAGCTTATTCATCCGGGGCCCATGAATTGTCTACAAGGCAATGCGTTTTGATGGGGGACACCTCATTCGAGCATCGATTTCTATCATTTTATAAGAGCCCCCCAGTTGCTTTGAGCATGGCACACGGGTCTTCCAGTTTTCCCACACGGGGGGGGTGTAACTTGTTGTTCAGTTTGCAGAAACGGACACCTGGTGAGGGGGGTCTCCACCCAGACTTGTTTGCAGCTGAGGCTGGTTTTTTCATGATGTCAAATGATCGTCTTGTTGAATGGCTTAGGATGGACTCGGGTTACGCAAGCGTCCCTGTGGAACGCTTTGAGAGGGGTTCTCAAAATGGAAAACCCCTTGTTGCTTGGTAAGGAAATCAAAGGCAGCAACGGACAGTAAAAGAAAAGAAGCCAGTTTAGCGGTCCTCTTGGAGCAATTTCCTGGCCCCTTTGCTCCTGCAAATTCACATGGACCCCAAACATGAAGTCTCCCAAAGCAGACCTCTACAAAATTCTACAAATATGTTGCCTGTTTGGCGTTCCATGTTAATTTTGCAGGGGGAGTAAACTTTGCTTTGCGTTTTCTTGGGGATCCAGTTCTTACTACTTTCCAGTGCGTTGAAATTGCTTGCCTGTATGGGTGTCCAAAGGAGCCATCCTTTACAAACTAAAAGCGGATTGGTTCATGCATGCCTTTGACGCTTCGAGTTTCTTCAACCTGCGCTTGTTTCCCCGACAGGCGCCGAAGATGGAGACGGAGCAGGCAAGCTTTGTCGCGAGGGCCTTTGCACCTGGCAGATAGAGATTTGTCCTTTCTCTTAAGACGCCTTTCAGTTGTTTTGTAGAGAAACCGCAAGGCCAGGGATTGTGATAAGTTTTGTCTTCCGCATGGCCCATGCCACTGGGCGAACAAGTTAGTTTTAGAGTGTTGCTTCATACGTCTTGTTTGAGCCTCATTTTGGCCCAACAAAGACACACTAAAGTTGAGTCATCCTTTCCAAAAGGTCAGCCTTGATGTCCGAACCGGACGAGTGCTTCCTATCAAGCCCACATTGCTTGAAGGCGTCAGGGACATACCTGTTTGCCCAAGACAGCAAGAGTCGAACCATCAACTATCAAAAGAGTGGTTTGCCCTGATCGATCGGTTCAAAGTGCATGAGTTCGAGCGGCATGATCACGCCCGATGGTGGGGGACAGTTTTACATCACCAATCTTGGCAAGTGATAGGCGACGCCGAAGATAGTGTAAGGATGTGTGTGTGTATATATATATATGGCTTCCGTTCAAAAAGGCCGGCTAAGGAGCTATATACAGTATGTGCACAATTCCTGTTAAGTCTTGTTTTCCTCTTTTCGAAATGAAGCGGGCCCCCACCTAAATCATGCAAATCTCACTGGCAGCGCTAGCTCGGCGCTAGGTCAAGGACGTTAGTTGACGTGGCATGTGAGATGCGCACACAGGACCCTTCTGTCCGGTCGCTCCCAGAGCTGGAGGCATTGCTTGCTCGCAAAGCGAAAGTGCTGCGTCGGCCACGAAATCTGCACGTGTCTTTTGCTCTGTACCTGACCTTGCGACACGTGACCCTGCGAAAAATCGGAAAACGTAGGCAGATTTCGCGCTAGCTCCGCGCTAGCACCGCGCTAGCAGGCAGTTGCCAACTTTGTGGGGGGCAATACCCAAGAAAGCCACTTGCATGGCCAGGTCAAGTAAAACTACATTCCCATAGCACGAACGTTACTTGCTGAAGATGTGGTGTAGATACAATATCCTATATCAGCAGCTCTACAAGCTCGGGTAGATCATCCAACAGCATCTAAGAAAAGGCACGCGCTGGTGCGCCTGTCAGTTATTTGTACGTTTCTTGGTCAAAGGTATCTTGCCGCAATGGGTACGTGTTCATATGGCCCAAATGATACGGGCCCCCATGGAATGGCGATTCAACAAAACTGGGAGCCAACATTTTGACAACCAGCCATATATATATATAATTGTGAAGCATGCGTACTTTCTATTTTGTGTCTATTAAACGTACTATGACTGAACTCAGACGACCAAACAAAGCGTGTCTTGTCATGGCGGGTTGAAGCCCGATCAAGGATATGCTTTGATATAGAATTTGTTTGGATGCACTGCGTTTCACTCCAGACTTTGAATGTGCAAGAGCCCGCGAGTGTTATTGGGTCTTGTTCCAACCCAAACCGGAACTGGGCGGCTCAACTGCAATTATATAGTGTTTTTGTTTGATTTGCGAAAGCTCGGGAACGAGGCGCACTTTGAGTCGCCCTTTCAACCGCCCCACTGTTCATAACAGGCGAAAGGGGAAGGGGGGAGGTCTTGTTCTGGGCTATTTGCTGTGTGAACCAGATCCCAAACCAGGACCAGACACAGGCGCACTGGTGATTGTGTGTTGATATTAGATCCAGGTTACCACGAGTGAATATTTTTTCGGTCAGTTTGCAGTTTAACAAGGTGGCTTCCTGGTTGCCTATACAGTTGGGAATCTGTGGGGTTCCCGACTGGCATTTATCGGCGTGCTGAGTTTTCTCCACTTGCTCAGACACCTATGTCAAAACAGTCTTTCAAATATATCTATCAGGTTTTGCCTGGTTTCGCAGCGTTTGGCTCAACGAGAACACGCACGCGTCTTTTGAAAAATCAGATCTTTTCGTCCGGCATGGCCACTTCGACTCTTCTCTTCGCGACGCTGGCGCTGTGCTCGCAGATTTTGGTGCGGTCCTTGCGCTCGGATGCTCACAGCAACGAAGGCGCCCAAGCGGCGGCATTGGAGGAAGCGTTCAAGGCGAGTCGTGCGAGATCGCCAGGGGTCCGATGTGTTTGAGGCCCGTTCGGTTTGGCGTCCCGTTTGGGAAATCGACAATGACAGCTGCTGTTTGGGGGGCCAGTTTTTTTTTGGCCGACAAGGAAGCCAATGGATCGCCAACCCCTAGGCTCTACCTGGTTTTTGATCGGAATAGCAATTGCATATGAATCATGTTGCTAGATCTCAAAGTCAACGTGGCGAAGCTCACTCAGCGCACCGCACAGGGCGCGCGATTTCGCCGAAGTCCGAAAGAAGGTCGCACCCATGAAGGCTCCTCAAATTGGTTCCCAGCCCAGTTGCTTAGGTTTTCAAATCTGTTTAGTTGGTTGGGTTTCCGAATGAAACCCACAAGATCGACCCTGGTTTCAGAAAACGGAAAACGGAGAGGCGCGAAAAAACGGCTCACGTGCCGCAAAGCCAGATTTGGACATCGACCGCCTGGTCATTGGTCGTTGAGCTCGTTTGTCCTTTCGACTCTTTCGGCAGGCGCAGCAGCAGTTGACGGCGGGCCACATCTTGCGTGAGCGCTTTGTGCTGAAGGACTCGCTCCGGGGCCCCCAAAGATCGGCCTCAGGAAGCGGTTCCTGAGATCCGTTTCGGATAGGCGAACTTTTGGGGAGAACCCTGGTTGGCGGTGACGAAAAGATTAGACTTTGTTTTGGCACATCAGGAAGTGAGTTGAAAAAGAGTCCCCTCCAAAACCGTCACACGTGTATTTCCCATTCATCCTGGCAAAGGAGTCACTTGTTGGACCGCCTAAGTGAGAAAGCGGATTAGGCCTACACCTCCCAAATCGATTTGGGTTTGCGGGAAATGGTAGCGCCTTTATTTCGGGTTAGGTAACCAAACGAGACCGACCAATTTAGCGGACCAATTTAGCGGGCTGATGTCTCCGCTTCGTCCAGTCGACAAGATTGCGGGATGTGCAGCGCTTTTGCTGGTGCCACGATCAAAGTTCGGGTAAGTGCAGGTTAGCAAGGGAAAATAGCATGTCCCAACATGTGTAGGTGCAGTCGCCTTATTGACTGTTTACATGGTTTTGGGGTAGATCTAGCGCAGGTTCAAGATAGTGACAGAAGTTCTTTTTGAGCTGCGGCAAAGGGACATCGGGGGGCATGCGCACCCTTTCAACTTGGACGGCTTGATGTGGGTATGAAATATAAAGGGACGCCCTCCAACATGGTTGGTGGACATAACTTCCGATGTAGTTTGTGTCTCCACAAAAAGCCGATAGAACTGATGCCCATGTGTTTGTTGAGAGGGGGACATACCATCCTGGATCGTTATGGAAGTCAAGCTATTTGCTGGACAACTGAGCAGAAACCCAGTTGTGTTGCCTTTTTTTGTGTGGTTTGACGAATGCTTTTTAGTCGTCGGTAGATCATTATCAGTCGTCGGTTGAGCTGGTATTTTTGGTTGTCGATTCGGACCCTTCGCTTCTCATGTTTGTTTGCGAGCATGGTGCGCAAGTCTGCACAATACATACCGGAACTGAAGTAGGAGTGCCAAAAGCGAGACTTAGCGTCTATCATTATTTGCATACGTTACACACATAGATGTGCGTGTTGTTGAGGGGAGCCCTTTGTGGTTGGTTATGAGGGAACCCAAGAAGAAACCAACCCTATTCCGGCGTCTAGATAGTGACAGACCCATGTATGCTGCTACCGTGTTTCCCTAGCTTGTTTGTTCGGCGCTTTTTTGTGCTGGCGTTTGCCCTTTTTGGCAGAACTTGCGAGCGTTTCCTGCTTTGCGCGGCGTTGGCGTTTGTTTTTGCGGCCGTGTGCGTCCAAAACGGGGTGCCGGGAATTCGGAAATTCTTGATGTTTGAATCTAGGCGGTCAAGCCAAGTGACTAGGAGCACCTGGGCTCCACCCCGGGCTATGAGCTGCGCGAGCGTGACGAAGGGCCCGGCGTGCCGGGGTCACAATTCCCAGACACCGGCACCTTGGTTCGAGTTCGGCCGTCTAGCTGGTGCTTAGCTTTCCATCTGCAGACTTTTTGTTCTTTTCCCTTGGTGTAAAGGAGATCTACTGGACATATTTTGTCTGGGGGTCTAAGCAGTAAGTTAGGGAGCCGTTTCGGAACTGTTCTCAGAGCCATAAGAAGCCTAAAAAGGTACCAACCTTTCCTGAAATGGGATTGTTTGCGCTGGAAAACTTGCTGGCGCTCAGCAGGGAATGAGGGAATGTCCCCTACAAACCATGATGTCCTTTAAGGGAATCCCCTTCCGGTGCATTCCCTCATTCCCTGCCTATCGCACCACATGGAGATTTGGTACGGAGACTTGGAGCCCCACAGCGTCCAACAATTCCCCAACAGGAATTCAAACCCATTTGAATATGACCTTAGGGAACAGTACTGTAGAGTAGAATGCGCGGAATATTCTGAGGTGAAGCCCGAACGCCACATAATATAAGGAACCTATTTTATGTTTGTTGGTTCACTAAAATACGGTGACCCTCTGGGAGAGTTTGCATTTTAGGCCTGGGTTTGTGGCTCAACACGAAGAGCGGGCTTGTTTACTGCCAAAATATAATATATATATATATATGTATGTTATATGCATCATGTATATAAAAATATATATACATACAGCATATGTGGCTTGGATATATATATATATATATATATACATGTTAATCTATTTATAGAGGCGCTGAAGTTTCGGGTTCACGCCATTTGCAACGAGCGGTTCCTGAGTTTGGGGAACACTATTTAGAGATGTGTCAGGAGCATCTATATTCCGAGCGGTCACAAATGGCACTGCCTGCTCAATTGGGTCGGTGGAAAGGGAGCCTTCAGCAGGACATTTTTGCTCGGGAGACCAAAGCACCGCAAGTTCCCACCCTGTGTCACCTGGGATCGCTTACTCTCCCCGTGTGTTGGAATACTACCAGTGGCTAGCAATGACATAGAAGTCAAACCTGACGTTTTGCCATGGTTTAATTTTACCGCCATGTGTTCTCCAGAACTGTTTGTTCCTGTGATTGGCTCTTGTGGGTGCAAGTACTCACTTCTCACTTCTCACGATCTTTCAGCCAACGTGGCCCGCGGAAGGGCATCCAGAACGCTTTGTGGAATGGATTTTAGCGTCCCTAAAAGTGGAATGGATCCCTCAAGAGGCCCCCGTGGCTTTCACAGTTCTGTTCGAGCTTCCTTTTTCGCGTGAAAACATTCAGGATGACAGGGAAGTCTTGCCACAGGGAGAGCCTTCCTCGCCTTGTTGTAGGCGTATACATATATATATATGTATAGCTGGGGGAAGCCTCAACATGTAAAAACCTGGATGTATTAAGAAGTACGCAAACATGGGGTAGCCATTGCCCATTGGAGCTCCCAGCTAGTGGCCGTAGCTTCATAGCAAGCGAAGCCGCAGCGAAACATCGACGATTGATGTTCCCATCCCGCCCCAGCTAGCTTTGAGCAAATGGGACCACTGGATTTTGCCCACCCTGGAGAGCACGTACTCCTAGACTACCAACTTACATAAGCCATTCGCAAAAGCTGTGTATACTTGCAAGCTTATCATGATTTTGTATATACATGTATATATGTAATGTATGTAGTATATGTAATGTATGTAATGTATGTACTATATGTATGTAATGTATGTATGTATGTATGTATGTATGTATGTATGTATGTATGTATGTATGTATGTATGTATGTATGTATGTATGTATGTATGTATGTATGTATGTATGTATGTATGTATGTATGTATGTATGTATGTATGTATGTATGTATGTATGTATGTATGTATGTATGTATGTATGTATGTATGTATGTATGTATGTATGTATGTAATGTATGTATGTATGTATGTATGTATGTATGTATGTATGTATGTATGTAATGTATGTATGTATGTATGTATGTATGTATGTATGTATGTATGTATGTATGTATGTATGTATGTATGTATGTATGTATGTATGTATGTATGTATGTATGTATGTATGTATGTAATGTATGTGTATGTATGTATGTATGTATGTATGTATGTATGTATGTATGTATGTATGTATGTATGTATGTATGTATGTATGTATGTATGTATGTATGTATGTATGTATGTATGTATGTATGTATGTATGTATGTATGTATGTATGTATTAATGTATGTATGTATGTATGTATGTATGTATGTATGTATGTATGTATGTATGTATGTATGTATGTATGTATGTATGTATGTATGTATGTATGTATGTATGTATGTATGTATGTATGTATGTATGTACTATGTATGTATGTATGTATGTATGTATGTATGTATGTATGTATGTATGTATGTATGTATGTATGTATGTATTATGTATGTATGTAATTGTATGTATGTATGTATGTATGTATGTATGTATGTATGTATGTATGTATGTATGTATGTATGTATGTATGTATGTATGTATGTATGTATGTATGTATGTATGTATGTATGTATGTATGTATGTATGTATGTATGTATGTATGTATGTATGTATGTATGTATGTATGTATGTATGTATGTATGTATGTATGTATGTATGTATGTATGTATGTATGTATGTATGTATGTATGTATGTATGTATGTATGTATGTATGTATGTATGTATGTATGTATGTATGTATGTATGTATGTATGTATGTATGTATGTATGTATGTATGTATGTATGTATGTATGTATGTATGTATGTATGTATGTATGTATGTATGTATGTATGTATGTATGTAATGTATGTATATATGTATGTATGTATGTATGTATGTATGTATGTATGTATGTATGTATGTATGTATGTATGTATGTATGTATGTATGTATGTATGTATGTATGTATGTATGTATGTATGTAATGTAATGTATGTATGTATGTATGTATGTATGTATGTATGTAATGTAATGTAATGTATGTATGTATGTATGTAAATGTAATGTAATGTAATGTAATGTAATGTAATGTAATGTATGTATGTAATGTATTGTATTGTAATGTAATGTAATGTAATGTAAATGTAATGTAATGTATGTATGTGTATGTATGTACGCATGCATGCATGTATGTAATGTATGTATGTATGTATGTATGTATGTATGTATGTATGTATGTATGTATGTATGTATGTATGTATGTAATGTAATGTAATGTAATGTATGTATGTATGTATGTATGTATGTATGTATGTATGTATGTATGTATGTATGTATGTATGTATGTATGTATGTATGTATGTATGTATGTATGTATGTATGTATGTATGTATGTATGTATGTATGTATGTATGTATGTATGTATGTATGTATGTATGTATGTATGTATGTATGTATGTATGTATGTATGTATGTATGTATGTATGTATGTATGTATGTATGCGTATGTATGTATGTATGTATGTATGTATGTATGTATGTATGTATGTATGTATGTATGTATGTATGTATGTATGTATGTATGTAATGTATGTATGTATGTATGTATGTATGTATGTATGTATGTATGTATGTATGTATGTATGTATGTATGTATGTAATGTATGTATGTATGTATGTATGTATGTAATGTATGTATGTATGTATGTATGTATGTATGTATGTATGTATGTATGTATGTATGTATGTATGTATGTATGTATGTAATGTATGTATGTATGTAGGTAATGTAATGTAATGTAATGTAATGTAATGTAATGTAATGTAATGTAATGTATGTAATGTATGTATGTATGTATGTATGTAATGTATGTATGTATGTATGTATGTATGTATGTATGTATGTATGTATGTATGTATGTATGTATGTATGTATGTATGTATGTATGTATGTAATGTATGTATGTATGTATGTATGTATGTATGTATGTATGTATGTATGTATGTATGTAATGTATGTATGTATGTATGTATGTATGTATGTATGTATGTATGTATGTATGTATGTAATGTAATGTATGTATGTATGTATGTATGTATGTATGTATGTATGTATGTATGTATGTATGTATGAATGTATGTAATGTATGTATGTATGTATGTATGTATGTATGTATGTATGTATGTATGTATGTATGTATGTATGTATGTATGTATGTATGTATGTAATATATGTATGTATGTAATATATGTATGTATGTATGTATGTATGTATGTATGTATGTATGTATGTATGTATGTATGTATGTATGTATGTATGTAATGTATGTATGTATGTATGTATGTATGTATGTAATGTATATAATGTATGTATGTATGTATGTATGTATGTATGTATGTATGTATGTATGTATGTATGTATGTAATGTAATGTTATGTAATGTATGTATGTATGTATGTATGTATGTATGTATGTATGTATGTATGTATGTATGTATGTATGTATGTATGTATGTAATGTATGTATGTATGTATGTATGTAATGTATTGTATTGTATTGTAATGTATGTATGTATGTATGTATGTATGTAATGTATGTATGTATGTATGTAATGTATGTATGTATGTATGTATGTATGTATGTATGTATGTATGTATGTATGTATGTATGTATGTATGTATGTATGTATGTATGTATGTAACGTATGTATGTATGTATGTATGTATGTATGTATGTATGTATGTATGTATGTATGTAATATGTATGTATGTATGTATGTGTGTATGTATGTATGTATGTATGTATGTATGTATGTATGTATGTATGTAATGTATGTAATGTATGTATGTATGTATGTATGTATGTATGTATGTATGTATGTATGTATGTATGTAATGTATGTATGTATGTATGTATGTATGTATGTATGTATGTATGTATGGTATGTATGTAGGTATGTAGGTATGTATGTATGTAATGTATGTATGTATGTATGTATGTATGTATGTATGTATGTAATGTATGTATGTATGTGTGTGTATGTATGTAATGTAGTGTAATGTATTGGAATGTAATGCAATGGAATTTA